TAGCATTTGTGGAGGGATGAATATGACCTTTGAGTAGCCCAGATCATGAGTAAACCATTGTAGGCTGCTGCTGAGATGGGGCCAGATTACTTTTTCTTGCTTCCCATACAAAGTACACTGTAGATCTCTCCATCCTCCTTAACACCCCACTCTTCATTTATACAAACTTGGTTTTTGCTTAAGAACCATTGCTTAGATCTTTTTTCTTCTGTCATTAAAACTGGCTGTTGGCTTTCTAACATTGAAAAAACCACACACCACTTATGATTTCATTACAAGGAGCAGTAAGAGCAGTAACGCTGCCCTGATTCTCATGGCTCAGATCCTCAGAGATCAGTAGACTCACTGGGAAGACAAATGACTTCAGGTGTGTTTTTAGTATAATCACAAACCCAGTACCATGGCAATGTGGGGACTCCAGGGAATGGTCACACACCTCCCCTGTTGGATCCTTGAATGTCAGTTGGTGGTTTTTGCTTTTACTCGTTGTGTTCTTTCACCCACAGGTATCAGTGGTTTAAGGAAATATGGGATACCTTGCTGTTACCAGAGTTAGATGTCATCGTCTTGACAAGTCAGAGCATGTGCTTCCCCCTGGTCTCCCTGATCCTCTTTCTGTTTGGAACGTGCACTGCCCACGGGGGCGGCCTGCTCTGGTGCACCGCCCTGAGGCTCCTGTCCTCACTGTGGCTCGCCTTGAAGAGGTAACGAGGGAAAGCTTTCTCGTTGCTCTTCAGTAAGAAGAAAACTGTATTCCGATGAGGAACCTTAACGTTAACCTGCTTCCATTCAACGGTACCTTCTCAGGAAGAGGTTATAACTAACAGAACGTGGGTCTGTGCTGAAAGTTGTGTCATTGTCAGAGATAATTTTATCTTGAGTTCATAAGAAATGGTAGGCAGATTGCACAAGTATTTTTAAATTTCACCGTTATAGCTCTCGCCAAGGAGGAAGTGTTTCTGGCAGTGCATTTGCTAGGCTCACTTGCAGTCAGACCCGAGGGCAGGCCACTCCATCCATAGACGTGGGCTCAGGTGAGAGGAGGTGTGTCAGAGCTCCAGCAGCATTGCCTGTGGCTTTCTTATGGGCCCACAGACATAATTTGAAATTGCAGGAAGTCTTTTCTGATAAACCACGGATCTGGTTTCCTTGGCCACGCCTCTCACCAAACACATCACCCCTGCCGCCAAGGGCAGTGCGGGTGATGCTGCTTTCTCGGCCGTCACGTGTGTGAGTGACCTTGAGGCTTGAAGAAATAAAAAGCTGTTTCTCCACCCATCCAGATCCGACATGTGGGCACAGGGCCAATGATTATTGATTACCGTGAGCCCCATTGTCTTCTTCCCCAGGACAAAGGTCTGCCATACTGAATCTAAATGGAAGAGGATGCCAAAACCGGTTTGGCTCAATGGATAGAGCGTCGGCTTGGGGACTGAAGGGCCCCGGGTTCGATTCCGGTCAAGGGCATGTTCCTTGGTTTCGGGCATATCCCCAGTAGGGGGTTTGCAAGAGGCAGCTGATCGATGACTCTCTCTCATCGATGTTTCTAGCTCGCTATCTCTCTCCCTTCCTCTCTGTACAAAATCAATAAAATATATTTTTTAAAATAATAATAAATAAATAAATAAATAAATGCAAGAGGAGTTATCACTGTAGATTACAGAATTTACAGTCAAACACGTGTCACCCCTTGCCTGTATTAAAAGATGACTTACTATTAACCTTATGGCACCTGCACGTTACGCAGGGAAAGCTGGCGGAGCACGGTCCTGGCTGCGGCTTGTGTGTGATGGTGTAAATGGCAGCAGTTTTTCTTGTCTTCCCAAGGCCCTCCGAACTTCCTAAAGACATCAGGATGCTCTCCCCACATTTGCCCCTGCTGACCGCTGTTCTGATCATAATCAGTTGGGTGACGTGTGGAGCATTGGCCATCCTTCTCACCTACCTTTACTACGTGTTCAAGGTACCTCAGACCCGCAACGGCAGAGTGGCTGGGCTGGGTATCAGGCAGCCGTACGCTTTCCTGTGCGTGTTGTTAACAAGCACTCTGATTGCCGCTGCAGTGGTTTTATGTTGTACAACAGGCTGAAGTGTGAAGATTTTTAACATCTTTGTTACTTAAAATATATAGTTAACTGTAAAACTGAAATTATTAGTCTGAGTTGAGTTAGTTAAAAAAAAAAAATGGGGGGAGAGAAGGGGAAAGATATGATGTTTCAAATTGCTTCCTGCTCTTGCAAGTAATGTTATCTTCTACAAAACATATCACTAGACTTGCAGTAGTCGGCAAACGAAGGCTCTCGAGCCACATGGAAGTATGAGTTTAAAAAATGTGGCTCTCAAAAGAAATTTCAATCGTTGTACTGTTGATATTTGGCTCTGTGGACTAATGAGTTTGCCAACCACTGCCCTAGAGCGGTTTTTATTCACACACACACCCCTCTCAACAGGGGTTATATAATAGACAAAACAAAACGTTATGTCAGTAGGATCCAGCTTTCAGTCATGCTGGAATCTTGCATTCTGTTACCTATGTTGCTAAAGAATCAGAGGACAATGATAAAAATAATTTGGCTGATAATTCTACTGAGAAGTAACACTTTCAGGAAAGCTGCTAGCTTCGCAGGAAAATATACACTGCATACTTTCCACATTAGTCTTTTTAAAAAATATATATTAAAATATATATTTTAATATATATATTAATATATATTAAGTATATATATTAATATATATAAATATATTTTTTTATTGATTTTTTACAGAGAGGAAGGGAGAGGGATAGAGAGCTAGAAACGTCGATGAGAGAGAAACACCAACCAGCTGCCTCCTGCACACCCCCCACCGAGGATGTGCTCGCAACCAACGCACATGCCCCTGACCAGAATCTAACCTGGGACTCTTCAGTCCGCAGACTGACGCTCTACCACTGAGCCAAACCGGTTCCGGCTCCACATTAGTCTTAATGTAGAGATGGTTGACTCCAGAAAAGGTAATGTTTTTTTTTTTCTTTTTGTAAACCAAAGTTCATTTGCATCTGCTTTTAACACTAATACATGCAAATACATGCACATTACAGGTTATTTTCATCAGGAAAAAAACTATTTAGAACTACTCTGATTTATAAATATAATATTTTGAGTTTTTAATTGAATATTTTAAACAACTAACCCAATATGCAAAACTTTCTAAAATACTTACTAGTAAGCATGGGAAAGGACAGTGAGTGGAAAAGGGGTCATATATAATACTTTCAACAAAAAAGAATTTTAAAAAATACTTAAGCAAATCCAGTAAATTAAACTTACAAGACATCATCAGGTTCTTATAAACATTTCACCACCAAATATAATTGAGTTCAGATTTTCAAAGATTTGCAATATATAAAACGTGTTACACTTTATACTACACTGAATATAGTCAGATGTTTTATTCACAAGACACTTTTAAGTTGCTGCAGCAAGGCATTTAAACAGAGGCGCCTGAGCCTAAGAGTTGTAACAATATATTCTGGCCCCAACGTACTCTGGAAGTTTGTATTATTTTGTTTGTTTTTTAATCCATGGTAGCAAGCATGTGTAGTTATTATTTATCTTTCCTAAAAGAATAATTTTAAATTTAAATGTTTAAGTGAATGTTTAATCGTTCAGATTTTTTAAAATTTTAGATTACAGTGCTTCTCAATTTTGATATAAACAAAGTAAAATTAAATGACCATTTCTTTTTCCTAGATTGTTCATCTGCAAGCCAGTGTAACAAATTTTAAAAATAGCCAAACTGTGGTAAGTTTTATTTTCAAAACTCTACATCACTTGAATATGAAAGAACATGGGAAATTTTTAAAGTTTAGGTTGTTTTTTTTAATATTGGGATTTCACACTGTCTAAATGGTTTTATAAATTTAAGTAATTTTATAAAAAGTGAACCTAAAGGCCCGACTGGTGTGGCTCAGTGGTTGAGCATTGACCCATGAATCAGGAGATCATGGTTCTATTCCTGGTCAAGGGCGCATGCCCAGGTTGCAGGCTCAGTCCCCATTGAGGGGCATGCAGAAGGCAGCCAATCAATGATTCTCTCATCATTGATGTTTCTATCACTCTCTCCCTTTCCCTTCCTCTCAGAAATCAATAAAAATATTTTTTTTAAAAAAGTGAACCCAATGTGTCAAATTGGTTTGGCTAAGTTGGAAGAGCGTTGGCCTGGGGACTGAAAGGTCCCAGGCTCGATTCTGGTCAAGGGCATCTACCTTGGTTTCGGGCACATCCCCAGTTAGGGGGTGTGCAAGAAGCAGATGATAGATGTTTCTCTCTCATGGATGTATCAAACTCTCTATCCCTCCTCTCTTTTCATCTCTATAAAAGTCAATAAAATATATATTTTTTTAAAAAATGAACCTAGTGAATATTAAAATAGAGTTGGATTCTCTAAGTTTAATTTGTCAGTATCATTTTTGTTATTACAAACTATATTTTAAATTTTATTTTAACTAATTACTTAGACAATATATGCTCAACAGTGGAAATGGCAAGTCAAAGGAATAAAAGTTTTATCACTGATAACCTCTTCACCACGAGGTAATGTCAGTATTTTCTACCCATTTGGTGATAGACAGGTGCGTTTATTTATTTAGCTCTTGAGTCATTGAATGTGATTCTACATGAAATAAGCTTAAATTTTACTTCACTTCTTGATGTTTTTCCCCCGATTGCTCCACAGAATCCGAAACACTCTCGACGGAGCGACAAGAGATGCAATCAGCACAAGGAGGCGGCCCACCCGCCTCGCCTGTCGGCCAGCGAGGCGGAGGACAGCCTGCGCATGCACAGCACTGTGGCCACGCTGCTGGCTTGGGTCGTGCTGCTGTGCGTGCCCTCGCTCATCTACTGGCTCAAGAACCTGCGGTGTGTGCTGCTCGCTGGCCATCACGGGTGGGCTCACACGTAGTGACCTGCAGGGGCAGGAGGCCATGGAGCCCCTGGAACTTGAACTGTGAACTGTGGGGAAATACACTTCCCCAAAATCTGTCCCCCAAAGAGGAAAAGGCCACCTTCCACCTTCTTTGGTCTAGACATGGGAAAATGTGCTTTGCTTGGTTGCTTTAAGGCACTCATACTACTAGTGCTCCATGTATTTTTCAACCCATGGTCAGTTTCATGTTTTCTTAAATTTGGGGGGAAGAAAAATCCTTCCATTTAAAAATAACTAGAAATAATGGAAGAAGTGTGTATTTTTCTAACATGGCCCAAACATTGAACTAAAATAAATGGCCAACCGTTTTCCTAATGAAAACTAGCATTTGCTTTGCTGCCTTGATAAGTGCCCTACGTCAGTGGTCAGCAAACTCATTAGTCATCAGAGCCAAATACCAGCAGTACAATGATTGACATTTCTTTTGAGAGCCACATTATTTAAGCTGCTTCTAACGCCACTTCTTCAAAATAGACTCACCCAGGCCATAGTATTTTGTGGAAGAGCCACACTCAAGGGTCCAAAGAGCCGCATGTGGCTCGCGAGTCGCAGTTTGCCAACCACTGTGCTAGGTCAGTAAGAATCTGAAATGTCCTCTAAGATATTTCTAGAATATTTAGTTATTGATAAATTGTTTCAGGAAAATAGGCTACCTATCTAAGTAATCATTGAACCTCTACTCAATATAGTTTTCAGAAATTATATAAAACTTTTAGGTTATCTAAATATTGGAAATCTGCTTTTTAGTTGATAGAACCAAAATATGTGTGATAAGTTAAATCACAGGTTACCAGATGTTACCTCCTTCCTTCATCCTTCCTGTTAGTCAAAAATCAGATTTTTGTCCACATATTTGGGGAGAGTTATTAAAGGAGCACAAATTTATGATTCTGAAAGGCTACAGATATTTCACTGTCCATAAATGCAAGAGAGGAAAATTTGAATTTTAAAAAGATAAGGAACAATTACTTTATATAAACCTTTATTTCATCTTTCTTTTTAAGCAGCCTTAATGTATTTTCAGTAATTTGTTTTATAAAATTTTTATATACACTTTCAGGCATTTACTAATAAAAAGGAAGTGCGTTCATAATGAATATGTTTTTATCTCCTGTAGTAGTTTCTGAACATAATTCTCCATATAAAACTTGGGTATAAAGATGACCTAGAGCAAAAATTATTTATCAAAGATTTCGTGAGCTGCTGAGAGCTCTCTGCTTCTATTGTTACTTGGATGTTTGGAAATTTTTTGAAGTTGATTGACTCTGATCATGTGGGATGCTCAGGTGTGCCTTACTGATTTATGTTTTATTTTTTTTCTCTCTTTGATATAGGTATTACTTTAAACTTAATCCTGATCCGTGTAAACCTTTGGCATTTATCCTTATTCCAACTATCGCAATTCTTGGAAATACTTACAATGTTTCAATAAAATCAAGGTATGGTTGTTTAATTTTTCTTTTTTTCACATCTATTCCTGGCTTCATCACCCTTTCTTTTATAAAGTCTGGACCATGCTCTTCCTAATACTTGGACTATTTCTATAGGGAAAACTATAATAATAATTATGGTATAAATGCAAATAGAGTTTATATGAAAGTATATTTGTCTTCTTTTTTTAATATATTTTATTGATTTTTTACAGAGAGGAAGAGAGAGGGATAGAGAGCTAGAAACATCAATGAGAGAGAAACATTGACCAGCTGCCTCCTGCACACCCCCTACTGGGAATGTGCCCGCAACCAAGGTACATGCCCTTGACCGGAATCGTACCTGGGACCTTTCAGTCCACAGGCCGACTCTCTATCCACTGAGCCAAACCAGTTTCGGCTATATTTGTTTTCTTAATTATGGCTTTTACTTATTAGGATATAATAATGTGTTTTTTTTTCTTTAGAAAGTTAACCTTTAAAAGATAAGATGTCTAAGATTTATTTCCAAAAAATATGGGCGTGGAAGTGAATAGTAATATAGGTAAAGTAGCTTTGGCCATGACTTGATAATCATTGAAACTGGATACAGGAGGTTCATTGTGCCATTAATCTACTTGGGTCCATTTATGTTTAAAGTTCTGTAGTAAAACTTGACTTTTCATTGGCTGGAGGTTTGCTCTCAGAGCCCTTCCTGTTGATTCTGGCAGATATTCTAGAATCGGGCGGGCCTGGGATTTAATCTTGGCTCTGCTATCAAATAGCTCCATAATTCTTAGGCAAGTTTCTCAGCCCCTCTTATCCTCAGTGTTTCTGTTTGCAAAGTTAAAGGTCTTTCCTGATAGAGCAGACACTGCTTGTGCAAATGCTTCCCTGACTCATGATGGGTTTACATCATGAGAAGCCAGCTCACACAAATTGAAAAAACCGTCATCGGAAAATGCACTTAACACTCCCCCAGAGAAAGTTGGTGGTGGGCTAGAACTGCGGCTCCTGCTGCCGCCCAGCATTACAAGAGGGCTTTTTACCACCGACTGGCGGTCAGAAAAAGATCAGAATTCACATTGTAATTTCTGTTGAGTGCATATTACTTTTGCACCATCGACAAATCAAAAAAACTGTAACCCTAACCATCATAAGTCAGGGACTACCGTGTTTCCCCGAAAATAAGACATCCTCCGAAAATAAGACCTAGCGCATGGAAAAATAAAGACATCCCCTGAAAATAAGATCTAGCGCATCTTTGGGAGCAAAAATTAATATAAGACACTGTCTTATTTTCGAGGAAACAGGGTAGCAGTAATTCCTTTTAAAAATATTTAGTGTCTTATACGTTCCTTTTACGAATTGAGGACAGTTCCTTTTTTATTTGGTGGGGTCTTTTGCTATTTTAAGTGAGGTTAAATAGTTCAGAAGCTGAGTCTTAGTAAATATTATCGATTATTGTTGTTAGGATAGATTTCTGGAGATAGAATCACTGAATAAAAGTCCAGCTAGTATTTTTCTATTGTTAAAATTTAAAAGGTGAGCCGAAACCGGTTTGGCTCAGTGGATAGAGCGTCGGCCTGCAGACTGAAAGGCCCTGGGTTCGATACCTTGGTTGCGGGTGCATCTCCGGTGGGGAGTGTGCAGGAGGCAGCTGATCGATGATTCTCTCATCGATGTTTCTAACTCTCTATCCCTCTCTCTTCTTCTCTGTAAAAAATCAATAAAATATATATATTTTTTAAATCAATAAAATATATTTTTTAAAAATTAAAAGGTGAAACAAAACTAGTTACTTTATGGAAATATTTTTTTTTTATCTTTTCTAACCACAATACGGCCAGGATGGATCATTTTTTAAATTACGGACAGTGGAATTTTCATCATGTGAAAAACTGCTTCCTCTAAAAGCACGAGAACCCGTTCTCAGAACCACACCCATGGCCAGCATCCCGTGTGTTCGCTCCGGGCGGACATCATGTAATGTGTGTCTCTCTCTCCACAGTAAATTGTTGAAGACCACGTCCCAGTTCCCGCTTCCTCTGGCTATCGGCGTGATTGCCTTCGGGTCCACACACCTGTACAGGGTCCCCTGCTTTGTCTTCGTCCCGCTCACGCTCCACGCCCTGTGCAACTTCATGTGAGGGAGGACGCAGGCGGCGATGCGTATGGCCTTCGCCCCTGGGCTCCGAGGTCAGGGGGACCGCGCAGACCCGTCAGCGTGGACGAGACCCTTCGGAGAAGACGCGTCTATTTTTGCATCGCTGGGAACAGGAGACTCGTTTTGTAATGCCTGCGGGGCGTCGTGTTCTGTGGTGTGGCGTCTGCGCACCGGTCGCTGGTTTTTAATTGGTGAAAGGACAGGGCGGACGCGGGCCTGTCTGAGCATCAGCTGGTCCAGACCGGCCACGCAGGTCGGGATCGTGTGCTACACACTCAGAAAAGCGGGCGCATTCCGCTCCTTTCATCAGACTTCCTTCGGAGAAGTGGGTCACTTTGCAGCTGTGAGAAGTCCTCGGATGCGGGTGAAATTCACAGCCAGCCATGTGGTTTCTCCAAGATGAGGTGCCCCCAGAGAGGCTCTGGTCAGTCGTCAGCAGCTCCGGCGAATGGCACAGGTCTTTTCTTTTCTTCTGACATCTGTGGAAATGCACCTTTTTATCCTAAGGAGGCTCGCTTCCTTAGAAACCAGTGCGACACTGACGGATGGAGACGTAATTCACACTCAAAGCGGAATGAGATTTCCTTGTGACTTTTCAAAATGCAGATCTTAGTCTTTTTCTTAGTGTCTCGGAGGACACGATAGCAGGTCCGTGTTCCATCTGTTACCACTTGATTTATCAGTTCAGCCATTGACCATGGTTGCCAAAAGTGCCTCAGGTCATGAAGGAGTGTTAAAAGAACTCAACGTCAGTGGTCAGGAAAAACTCTAGGTTTGCACAGTTTTTCACTACCCGGGGGGAGAAGGGGAATTAGCATGATCAAGTGCAGAACCACCTTTGATGCATACAATTAAATATTAATGGAGTGACAGACAGACTGTGACCCCCTTAACAGCATAAGGATAAACAGTGTACCTGAATAAATTAGCTACTAGATTAAATAGGTGGAATATTAACTTGCCAAGGTGATTACTGTTTGATGGGTGAGAGAATAATATTTCTACTTCCTTTCAGACTTCAGCTCACTTGTAGCCAGGAGAGGAGGAGGAGGAAGTGGAGCTAGGTGTGTTTGCCTTAAGAAAGCCTAACCTCGGGCGGAGGGGTGCCGGCCAGTGGAGTCCTTCCTTTAGAGGGGTCTGCTGTAAACGCCCACAGCAGGTCCATCTAAAGGAAGTCCTTAGGGCTCGGTGATTTCCCTGCTGCACCCGTGAGCTGGCGTCCCTCCCAGGGCCCAGGAATGTTCTGGAGTCTGGCCCATCTGCCATTGCATCGGGACCCCTTACAGCCTCTCAGCTGCCACTGCCTGTCGAGGGTCACCCCATGTTCCTCCTGAACAGGGTCCCCCTTCTCTTCTCCGAGGTCCCTCAGGTCCTTGCCCTTTTGGCGACAGGTAACGAGGGTCTTGCTGTCTTTTCTGAGACACGTTTGGTCGGTTCCCTTGTCGTCTTTGTCAACGCCAGGCCTTGTGCTCCGAAGTCGTATTTGCTCTTACGCGGTCCACGGGAGGGCGGGGATAGCCTGACGGGCGCCGCGGTGGCCGTGCCAGGCTCTTACCGGGGAGAAGGAGCCAAAGGGATAAAACACGGAGCACGTCTGTGCCGCACCCGGCAGGAAGGAGAGTTTTGTAGGTTGTGCACTTGTCCCAGGGCCTGCCACGTATGTCTGTCCTAGTAATCTGTACTAATGAAAGGGTAATGTGCTAATCAGACTGGGAGACCTTCCGGACTGAGCCCTGGCTGCGAAGGACGAGGCAGGCCGCCAAGGCTGGGAGGGCGGAGCCTCCCTGTGGGCAGCATTGATCGCAGAGCCCAGGCCTGGTGGTCAGGGCCTCCCTCTGCGGGTCATCAAGTCCTAAAGTCTTTTACTCCAACAAGATATTTCATTTTAGAACAACAAAACGGATTCTAATTAAACTTTTATTATTTTTTAAATATATTTTATTGATTTTTTCACAGAGAGGAAGAGAGAGGGATAGAGAGTTAGAAACATCAATGAGAGAGAATCATCTATCAGCTGCCTCTTGCACACCCCCTACTGGGGATGTGCCCGCAACCAAGGTACATGCCCTTGACCAGAATCAAACCTAGGACCTTTCAGTCCACAGGCCGACGCTCTATCCACTGAGCCAAACCGGTCCCGGCTCTAATTAAACATTTTAGAAACAGCAGTTGGTTGGGTCTTTAGCCATTATATGCATCAATCCATGCACATTTTCCAAAAGAAAAAAAAATTGTTTTACATTTTGACAGGGTCTTCACCAAGTCTTAGTGCACTTTGAATCCGAACGCCCGCCAGAGGCGAGTCGGTAGCTCTGCGGTGTGCAGCATCGGTCTGGCACTGAGGGAAGGACGTGCTTCTGTGTCAGTCGCACGTTGTTTCTGTCGTGCGTGCAGCCATGTTCTCAGCGCACAGCTCCCTCAGGGATGCTGCTGAAGCTGAGACGGCCTGTTGGTAGTCAGGGACCATCCACTTCACCAGACCCCTGGGCTCTGGCGTTACAGCCTTTGTATTGGGAACTTGCTGAGTTTTGAAGAAGGTTTTGCTTATAAAAAATCACTGTTGTGGGCCTGTTGTTGATACTGGGGGCACCTGGAGACGGGCAGGAAAACCACTCAGCACTCTGTGTGTCTGAGCCGCCCCGGGTGTGACTGCTCTCACAGTCTAGAGCTGATGACACCAGATAAATCATGGGAGCTCTTTTTCATGCCGGAAATTAAACAAGTTCTGCTAACTCTTTTCTATCAGAATGAAAATATTTAAAACCGTGGTCCTAGAAAAAAATCATTTGGGCCTGGTTAACATTGATTTATTTATTTTTGTTTATTTATTTATTTATTTTTAGTCTCTTCAGTATATATAAATTATGTCAATCCATCTCTTTTTTCATATTTTGGTCAGATAAGTTTAGATATATAGTGGAAACCTTTTCTTGATTGGACCCCACTATGATATCTACATGACTATACCGTAAGGAAAAAGCAAGAACAACAGTAGGCCTAGAGAGTGTTAATCACACAGACCGTACTATCTGGTGTGTTCATTATCAAGTTCTATACTTACCTCTTCAGAGTTTCCACTGTCTGGGTAGTTTATTTCTCCTCACTGCTCATTAGCACTTCCTACCGAAGGTGGTCAAGAGAAATAAAAGAAGGTGAAGCTCAACTTTCAGTTCCCGAAAGCTGTGGGGAAAATGGGGAAAACACAAAGATTATGAGTCAAACTAAGGCTGTTGATTCTTAAATCCCAGATAATATATTTGGCCTATATTTTCATCTTAGGTATTGCGTCTACATTAGTGTAATGTCTTGCTTTACTGTGAGGTTGAGTGCAAAAACTTCCATTTGCAATTTTAGTAAATTAAAATCGGTTGGGAAATTTTAAAAAAATGAGTCAGGACCTCCTATGACTAGGCATTTGTTGGCTGCTTTTCCTCACCAGTGCTGTAGATTTGTATCATAGGAAACAAGGTGCCTTGTAAAGCCGGGTGGGGTGTCCATTTGGAGAGCATGGAGCTCCCCAGGATAAAGGAAGCCACAAAAGCCTCTTCAAATTATGAAAATAGACCCTGACACTAAACTTTGGTAAATAGATGTAGAAGATAACTTTATAGAATATTAAGATGACTGGGAGCTAAACGTTATCCCAGTCTTGTTAAATAAAGGACATCTCAGATTCTTTAGTGAGCTTTCTTTTTTATACACTAGAGACCCAGTGCATGAAATTCGGGCACTTAGGGTCCTTAGAGGCTCCTGTCTACTAGCCGGGGCCTCCCTGCTGCCGGCTGGGGTCTTCCTTCGATCCACACTGCCCCCTGGTGATCAGTGTGCATCATAGCAAGCAATTGAATTCTCCTTTGGTCAAACTTCCAAGGGGACACTTTGCATACAAGGCTTCTATATATATAGATATTACTGATCATTCTTCAGCAACCCAAGGAAATAGGAAGTCTGAGCTGCTCACGTTCTTCATTGTTAAGGAAAGGATGATAGAAAAGCCAGAACAGCACTCCGAATAAGTTGCAACAGATGCTCCATAGTTCACTGTTATTGAGAATAGATGATGAATACAGAAGACAGAATGTCGTATATTCATAACGGAGTTTTAAGAATGTAACAAAATTTGGACATAGAATAGACGGCTATTTCATTAATAGTATAAATACAGGCAAGGACAAAAAAGTAGGCTTACAGTTGTTCGTATGGAGATCAATAATAATAATGTAAGAATAAACTGTGCTTCTCATACTTACAACTGTAAAAACCTACTCTTGCCTACTCCTGTATAATAGTACACCTGAATTGGTAACATGCTTCCAAAGTTAGGTGATAGTCTAAGCTACATCTTGATTACATTGCCAATGGCTGCACATTTTTAAATCAAGTACAGTACTGACTAAAAGCATTCAGTGTGTTTTGCTTCTAAAAAATGACTATTTTGAAATACCAAGTAACCAGTTAGTTTCTGATGACTTCATATAGAAGTTTATATATATGAGTCAGAATTTTCCTGCACTGATTCTGTACATTGTAACTTTGAACACTTATAGGAAAAGTGTTGTTGTATTTTGATTAGTTGAGTAAATTTGCTTGCATATTTGAGTCCTAATCTTAGTTTAGGAAGTCTAAAAATAGCCTTTTTTCCAAAGTTCGTAGACTGTGTTGTTGTTTTTTTAATGTTAACTTGGTTTTTAGTATTTGTACGTAACGTTACTAGTAAAAGATTTATAAACAAAGAATTTAACTATTAACTGTTCAGAAGCCTAAATGATAGGCATACTTTATATTTCATGTTTCACTGGTTTTGTTTCAGATTGAACTTTTTACATCTCTTTTTAAAGAAAAAGACACATTTGAATTTTTTTTTAGCATCAACCTCTACATTGGAAAATATAACTGTATTCATCTGGCTAGCAAAACACACTTAGCCACCAAAGCTAAGGGAAAATGTAATATACCTCCAGATATCTGTGCCAATGAACTTTTCTTAGCATATTGGGATTAAAGCAAAAATAATCTTTTCTGTGTTTTTCATTTAGGACTTACATTAAATATGTAAATCCTCAAAACTTATACCCATACGAGAATTTGTGTTTGAGAATACAGAAAGCATATAGGGTAGTTGTGTTCTATCTCATCTGATTTGTGGAATAATGCTCTCTGATACTGAGGGTAACAATTAGTTTACCCAGTAGTGATTTTTCAGTAATGAATTGAAGTACTCGCTGGAAGTAGTCTTACTGTAGATCCATTCTGTGATGTAGAATTTCTCATTTCATGGTGTCAATCATTTTTAGTGCAGGTGTCTCTCACTTACGTAATAAGAGTTTATAGAATTTGTTTTCTTTGTATTTCCGTTCAGTCCCTTAGTTACAGTCACGTATTTCACAGGAGAAAATGATCCACTTGACTCCAACATAGTACAATGAAATACATATTTTAAAAGGCATATCTTAAAGGGAAATATTATTTAACAAAAAACAAAAAAACAAAAAAAACAAACCTTAATGCTGATGTATTAACACTGGGCCAGGGTTGTACTCTTGGGAGAAAAGTAGAAAATGATAGACTCAAGAGCTGTTATGTTTACCCGGTTAAGATTCTTTAACTTCTCCCCTCTGTGAATTCTCAAAGGGAATTTTAGCCCCTCCCAGAACAGTACTTTCTGTAGTTTAACGGCACTGATAGTGTTAATGCTGTTCACACAAAATCCTCGGCAGTGAGGAAAAGCGGGGATTACCTAGTAACCCCGTAGGGACTTGACCTCATCCAGATATTAGTAAAAAGATGATATACAGGCCCTAGACATCAAGTGAACGTGGTTATTTGGAATATCCCTTGTGTTGAATAATCTTATTCTAAATGGAGATGCCTGTATTTGCCGTAGCCATGCTTTCCACATAATCAAAGGTATATGTGTTGGGATATTGGTAGAAATAACCTTCTCTTCCTCCACGGCGGAAGGGGAAACCCCACTTTTTAGGGTATGTACATTAGGAAATTGTATTGGGTATTTACTTTTGTTTTTAAATATAAAAAAATGTATTATCTTAAAGTGATTGTAAGATGGTTTCTTAAACTTAGGAATAACTAAATGTAGCAATGTACCCAGGAGAAACCAGACCAAAATGGAATGCCTATTATCACTGTGACCTTGAACTTGTTTGTTTGGGATAAAACGGACTGTGCCTTAACACACACGATGGAGGGACGCCCTGCAGTGTTGTGACTGTGTGTTTTATTGTCGCCGTCTTCTCAGAGGGCCCGCTCCTTTCCTCTGAGGTGGTGGAGCACACGTTTCCAGGAGAAGCTGAAACCACTGCTCTATGTCAGAACCATGGCTCTGGAGGCTGCTCTTAAACTCCTAGAGTTCACACTTCAGATTAACATTAGCTTACACTTTATAGGCGTAGACATCAACGTTTGGTGAACGTTTATGAAAGTAGTTTTTTATGAGAAGGTGGTGGTACTTGTGAACTTAATCTTAAATGTAATTTTTTTTTTGTCTTTTTAATAAGTACTCTGTCGAAGACAGATTCTTCCCCAAGACCTATGCTTATTTTTCCTCGGATGACTGAGGTTTGTATTTATGTGTAAAATAAAGCAGTTTCGCCCAATAATGATATTTCAGTAATTAAAGTGACCTCAGATCCATGTAGTATATTTTTAAATGTGATTTTACCCTTTTCTGTTTCTTTCCTAATTATTTGAGAGAACTGATTCCAGTTTTGTTTGTTCTTTAATGTAAAGACTCGCATTTCTACGTTGCTTATTTAAGATAATGCATATAAGTTATTGAGACAAATTATTTCATTCATAGGACATTCAGGGTCTCTGCTCAAAGATGCCCACATCTCTCCGATCGTGTTGTCTATTTTTCCATTTTAATTTTGAACATAAAGCGCATTTTGTTCTTCCCATTTTATGTCCACTCCCTCCCCCCAAAGACATAAACATGGGTTTCTCTAAAAGCATGTAGAAAGGAAACATGTCTTTCCTTCAGCACGGTCGAGTTGGAAGCAATTTGGGAAAGGGTATGTAATGAAGCTCATGGCTGTTGGCCTGCATCCCTTTTTGTAGCGAAGAGATTGTAGAGGACAAGCTGTGCCAAGAGAGACTCGGTGTAATCATTTGCAAATGGATCGTTTTGTTCTCATCCAGAAAAATGCAGTGCATCTTAACACTACTTAAGTACAAAGGAATTTGCCCTGTCACCTGTGGATCTTCCCGTCGAAACATGCATGATCTTTCCCAGTGCTTTGTTTGATGTATGGTGTGACAAATACACGTATGTGTACTTTTCTGTGTATTTCTGGGTCGGTACATAATTAACATCATTACATCACCTGGCTGTCACTCATCAAGTGCAACGTACTGTGTTCTGTAGAGTGCTGTGGATGCTTTTAATGTGCGTTTAAACATCGTGGTGGAGGGTGGAATAGAGGAGTATTTGTCTCTGGCCTGTCTCCACTCAGGTGTTACTTTGGAGTGGTTTTTGGTGCTTCTTTTCAATCTGTCATCATCTGTGTTCTGAATGTTCGACAATAAATTTGGTGAACCAGGACGTGAGGTGCAGAGATTTCTTACCAGTTCCCTCTCCAGAATGCCGTTTCGGGGGGAACCCCTCCAGCACACTTTCTTCACAGCAGGTCCGGCGTCCTGGGAATGGGAATGGCCGAGCCTGGGATCTGATGCACATGCCATATCCCAGGTGACTGGTGCCAACCAGGCAGATTCCAGTGCTTCCCAGATTTGTTGCAACTGGGGATGTGCCCGTGACCAAGGTACATGCACTTGACCAAAATCGAACCTGAGACTCTTCAGTCCACAGGCCGACGCTCTATCCACTGAGCCAAACTGGTCAGGGCAGCACCCGTCATTTCTGCAGCACCTCCTCTGCGTCACTTGCATTTGGTCCATGCTCTCCCTTCACCCTCACCCCAGATGTGTGTGACCCTGGTACCAGCCAAACTGGCGGGTGAGGACACAATCTCCGTGAGGCTGATTTCCCCCCCCACACACACACATGCATTTGCATGGGCATGCCAGGGCCTGCGCTGTATTTTTAAGGAACGGTACATGTACACACCTTCATCTTGCTGCAGTATCTTGCAGTTTTAAATACACTTTTTTTTTTTTTTTAAAGAGAACTTTGTGTTCTAGTGAGACTATAATGCAATAAGATTTGGGGCTTCCAAAACATAACTACCTGGAATCCTTTGTCAGAAATACAGGCTTCCACCGAAACCGGTTGGCTCAGTGGATAGAGCCTCGGCCTGTGGACTGAAAGATCCCAGGTTCGATTCCGGTCAAGGGCATGTACCTTGGTTGCGGGCACATCCCCAGTAGGGGGTGTGCAAGAGGCAGCTGATCGATGATTCTCTCCCATCGATGTTTCTAACTCTCTATCCCTCTCTCTTCCTCTCTGTAAAAAAAATCAATAAAATATATATTTTTTAAAAAAGAAATACAGGCTTCCATTCAATGTTGAAGGAAGAGAAACAAGTCCTGGGACAACTAAAACGTATAAGCAATTGATGTGAGTCACGCTGCAGACCACAGTGTGGGCCTGTGCGGATGCCCGTCGCCTGTGCTCTGTCTTGCGCACACTCGGTCAGTACCTGCTGTTCCAGAGCCTGTGCCTGGCACCATCACATGCAGCTCCTCATTTCCTCTCCGCACAAACTCCTGAGGAAGGTCATTATCTCCACAGTACACGGCAGGAGAGAGTCTCAGAGAAATGAGGCAATTTGCCTCTGGTAGAATTCAAAACCAGGTTGTCCAAGAGGTGGAATTCTCCCACTGACAGCCGGTAATACGTAAATATTAGTTCACTTCTCGGTGCCAAAAATTGTTGCTGACCCTATTCCTCTTGCCTTGGGGAGTGGAAAATGTTTCTCATGATCTGCTTGCGGCCTCCTTTTTCTCTCTGTCCCTTCCCTGGGAGATTGTCTCCAGCTCAGTGACTTCAGTGTTATGTTCTGGGTGGTGACTCGCCCAATCAGACAGAACTGCTCCCTGGGTTCCATACCTGAGTATCTCTGAGTCGATGGCAAAACACTTACCCTCTCGGAGATTGTTCCTCACCCACCAGTGTGGCGGTTACCAGCGTCACACACATCTGGGGTGAGGGTGGAGGGAGAGCATGACCAAACGCATGCGACGCAGAGGAGGCTCTGCAGAGATGACCGGTGCTTCTTAACTCTCCAACCTCCAGTTTTCTCCAAACTACACCAACTTAGCTCCAACTTCATGTTGAGATTTAATTTTATAAAATCTCTCCCTGCCTACGTAGCAACTCTTTTTAGTTCTCAAATTTCAATTAAATCCTCTCCATGACACAAGTTGAAAATCCACTCATTTTGTTCATTTCCCCCTTGCTCATCACATCCAATTAGTTCCTGAGGTCTAAAGAGTCTAGCACTTCAAGGTCACCCTTCTGTTGCTGCATTCTTGGCTCCCCCGTAGTTTACCTCATTATTACCAGTATTCCCAGTTTTCTACTGATTTTTAGAAAGTGGAAAGGAGGGTGGGAGGGAAAGAGAAACATCGATGTGAGAAAGACACATCCCACATATGTCTGACCCTGGCCAAGGGAATGAACTTGGCAACCTAGGTAGGTGTCCTTAACCAGGAATCGAACCCGCAACCCTTCAGTGCATGGGCCAGCATTGTAACCACTGAACAACAACAGCCAGGCCAGAGAGATATGCTTTTTACTGGGTAAGGATTCTTCCTCTTCTCCTTCCACTGGGGATGTAAGGAGGGAGCATTGTCTAAGGACTCTCGGTATTGTGACTTGGCTATAATCTCATTAATAACTTAATACTTCAATATTATTAGTTGTTTTAACTTCAAAGCCCGGGCGTTTTCAGGACAGATGATATGAGATTCCAGGATATTTATTTACTCAACACCTTTTCTTCTCATTTTCTAATTTTTACTGAAGAAATCTTACCCACTTATATGCCAATAGCTCCCATATTGACATTTCCTTCCCAGACCTCCCCTCTGTCTCCAACTGTGTGTCTCCATGGCCACGTGGCTCCTCAAATACAGCACGTGGGTCCCGAGGGAGCTCATGATCTTCACCCCTCCGGCCGTGTTTGCTGTCTCTGTGCGTGGAGCTGAGGTCACTGATCCTGAGACCTGCAGAGGGCTTCGAAACTCTTCCTCCGAGTTCTGCCTCCTCTGGTGCCCAGTACATTAGCAACCCCGTCTTCTGTCTCTCCGGTCCACCCACGTCTCTGCATCCGTGCTGCCCTCCCGTCCAGTTATCACCTCCTCCTGGCTGGTCCCCCGCCTTCCTCTTCTCGGCCTCGTCTCTCTCCCGCTCAACCACAATGACCTTTGGAAAAGGCAAGTCTCATCAGGCCGCTTGGATGCTGACAACCTTTCCACGACCGACCGCTGGCTGCAGCAGAAAACTCATACTCTGCCCGCCTCTTAGCCCCGGCTTGACCCCAGCCTCACCCTCTGCTCCCCGCTTCCTCACTCACTTTCTGGGAACACAACCCACCCTTTTGGTGAGGACACTCCTACCCATGGGCCACCTGGCCAGGGCCGCACTTCCGTTCAGCTGCTTTCCCGTGCCATGTCCTTTCGGGGTCTAGCTCAGCTGTTCACCTTGTTTGGGGCTCTCCTCCCTCTGGCCGCCCTCGGTTGCCTAGGTAACCAACGCCGGCTGCCAGATGTCAGGTCCCTTCACCGCGCCCTTCCCTGACCCTTGAGACTGAACCAGATCTCCCTGTTCTACCCTCACTCAGCTCCTACTTCCTCCTCCCAGAAACCATCGCCGCTGGTATTTTGTTAAAGAGTGATTTGGTTCACGTCTGTCTCACCCACTAACGTGCTAGTGGCACCTGTGTTTATTATGCTTATCGTTTTACCCTCAAAGCCTTGGGCAGTGCGATAAAAACTCGTTGAACAAAGAAGTAACCAAGTGAAGGTCATAGAGACTTGCCCAAGGTCAAGATGAGACATAGCCAGGAGCTCTGGTTTTCAGCTCAGATCACCAGCCTCCTCAGCAAAGAGCTTGTCCAGGCTGCCCTGCCTCACCATGTCCAATTTCTCAGCCCTCGCCTTTTCCATGATGACATTTATTCAGCAAGACAGCGCTGTAAGTACAGTAATATTTTTCTTTTCTCCATGCAACACGTGCTATTGTGTAGTCTATTTTGAGGGGGGTATTATGAGAAACCAGACCACTGTGTAAAACTTGTAAAGATTCCTGAGATTCTCAGAAGAAATATGAGGTGTAGTCCATAAAGAGCAAAAAATGCTTTTATGTTTAAAGAAAAAAATGCTCTCCGTTTCAAAAGCTGGCATCTGCCAAAGAGCATCCTATTAGGTGGGCTAGTCATCATCATCTCCCCAGCTGCTGTGCATAATCCACCTTCTCTCCAAGGTATGAAAAGGCAGAGGCCACTCGGCTGTTGGGAAGTGCCTTGTGTTATAACATCCACGCAAAGTGGTCCGTGGTGGTTCTATTTATAAGACAAGTTGTTTACCCCCGGAGAAGTTGGAAGATGGGTTCTCGAGGGTGTTTGTGCTGCGGCTGGAAATGGAATCATTGTGTCTGAACGCCCCTTGCTCACGTCAGTGACCCCCACCTGCAGCCAGCCCGGGTTATAAGTAGCCACGCATCCCCTGTGGGCTGCAGGCGGTGCAAGCAACCAGGGCCAGCGAGCCAAGCTCCGGTAAGCTTTCTCAGCCCTTTCTCTGGGCTTCCTTCCCATGGCCCACCTTGGGGTGGGAGACCAGCTGTACGGACCTGGTGCGGGGTGAGCCCGCCTCAGCCGTGTGTGTCAAGTGCTTGGCTCAGTTTCAGGTTTTATAAGATGGGTTTGGGGTACTTGCTTGTTTGTGATTTAAGAAATTCATTTTTTTTTTTTGAGATAACAATGCTTTTATTTATTTATTTATTTATTTATTTATTTATTTTAAGGTAAAGTGCTCTGCTCAGACTGGGGAGGTGGTGTTCATCGTCACTTCGCTTATCATTGTGTATGTAAGGTTCTAGCTTTCGTGGCCCCCTTAAGCTAACCAACTGGATTTGGAATTCTTGTTTGCAAATGAATCTGGAGAAAAAGGGGGCTGTACCATTCAGGTGGACCAGGATGCCATTTCTTCCTCCTTGTCTCCCTTTAAAAATGGCTCTGTTTTTATTCTACATTTGTTCTCTCTCCCTCCTTTCTTCCCTCTCTCTCTCCCTCCCTCAGGTGTGACCATTGCATTTCCCTCATCCTTCCTCTCTCTCAGTCCGCCATGCCCGGAGCGCTCCTGCTGCTGTCTGCTGCCCTGGTGCTCCTCGGGCCTGTGCATGGAGCCACCCTGAGGAGCAAGGAGACATGGAAGCCACTCAGCAATCCCCAGAACCGGGACCTGGTAAGCACGCTCCTGGCCTGCTGGGCTGGGTGCGATCGCTGGGCCCCGGGATCGGTGTGCTCAGAAAGCGGCCTGGGCCCAGGCCAGAGCTCAGCGGGCCTGGCAGCTGGCCTTCTGCTGCTCCCCTCGCCCGTCTACACCTGCTTCTGGGGGCACCCAGGGCGCATTCCTGTGTGAGCCGTCTGTGCACTCGGCGGGGAAACACACCACTCAGGGTTTACAGCCATCACATGGCGCCTGGCACAGCTTCTCTATATTTACCCATTTCCTAGAGAGCCATATTCGGCTCTTTGGCCCCTTGAGTGTGGCTCTTCCACAAAAATGCCTGGGCGAGTCTATGTTGAAAAAGTGGCGTTAGAAGTTTAAGTTTAAAAAATGTGGCTCTCAAAAGAAATGCCAGTCGTTGTCCTGTTGATATTTGGCTCTGTGGGCTAATGAGTTTGCCAACCACTGGCCTAGAGGAAAGCCGAAAGTCTGCGTCTGAACAAAAATGATTATTTCAGAAGACGGTGACCAGGGTCTTGTTTTCAGTCAGAGCTCTGGTCACCGTGGAGTTCAATGTCACCTCTGACCTTGGTACTCAAAGATGGTTGGTTACAAGGCCCCTCTGGCAGGTGCTGCTAAGGAATTGCTATTCCTGGCGGGATTTCCACCAAGAATGGCGAGTGAGCTTGTTTGGGGTGAAATGTCAGAGAGGAGGCACGGTGGGAAAGGGGGTGGGGAAGGGGGCGGGGGAGGGAAGAAGTGGCCAAAGTTTGTGCTTCTACCTCTCAGTTTCCACCTCCCGCCTCCTAGGTAAGCTCCCCAATCAATTCAGGGGGAAATACTCACCGTTGAGTATTTTGGGTGTTTAATTTATAACTGGCAACGGACCCTTTCCTTTCTCTGTGCAGTTTTTCAGAACCCTTCAGGCGTATTTTAAGGGAAGAGGTCTTGACCTTGAAAGGTTTCCAAATACTTTCTCCACGAACGAGAACCCCAGACCCCTCTCTCTGCAGTCGGAGCTCATGGCCTCCGCCTTCGCAGAGTACAAAGAGCAGAGAGACTCCCTTCCCGGCAACCTCAAAGGCTGATGGCTTCTCCTGAGAACAGGTGAGGCCCCTTTCTTCTCAGACAGACCACTTGCTCAAACAGAGGCTTGGGAAGTCGTTATTGGAAAAGTGATTTTATTTCCCCACAGAAATAAGTGCTACATTTAGAAGCTACTCATCACTGGTAATATATGGATTTGGTTCAGATATTTCATGCCTGTTTTAAGGAGGAATGACAGGACATTTTAAGCATAGGATTATGGAAAGAGATATAGAGAAATGATAGGATTATCACACTCTGCCTATATCCTTTTTTCCCCCAGACCAGGTCAGATAAAGAAATATGTGAAATTGTGCAGTTGGGTGAAATAGAAAGTAAAGTTTAAAAATAGTTCTTCTTAGAAGAAAGTAATAAGCATATGTTTGATCTTGAACATCCTCACCTAGAAAAAATAAAGTAAAATGTGAAAGATGATTTTTTTCTCATAAGAAAATGGTTTTAAATATATGTTTAATATTTGAATTTTATTATTCTGTATTATTACCGTAGCATTCCTACCAAATGAGCACCTATCATTTTTTAAAAAATAGGTGTGGTGCATTCCAGGAAGCTACAGTATGATTCTAGCCTATCAGCTGGCTGTTCAGCTGAGTAATTACGATTCGGTTTCCTCTAATAAAGGGAACTAAATCGTAATTAACATCTCCTCCTCTTCTTCTGCCAGCTAGGGGTGAAACAATGAGGAAGCATGCCACTGTTGCATTTTATTGTGCATGTGAAAGGGTTTTGATGATCGGTTCTTGTAAATGTGATGATTTTAAAAAATAATGATGTAATTAAAAAAAAAAAGATTTATGCACTCCCAAGTGAGAAAGTAAAATGGAATAAATAGAAAGATGGTAAGGAAGCGTCCCCTTAGCTGCTTCTCATACGTGGGCTTGAGGCCAGTGGTTGATAACCCGTGGTCCAAGGTTGGCGACCGTTGGTGTAAGGCAGTGGTCGGCCAACCCATTAGTCAACAGAGCCAAATATCAACAGGACAACGATTGGCATTTCTTTTGAGAGCCAAATATTTTAAACTTAAACTTCATCTAACACTACTTCTTCAACATAGACTCACCCAGGCCGTGGTATTTTTGTGGAAGAGCCACATTCAAGGGGCCAAAGAGCCGTATGTGGCTCGTGAGCCACAGTTTGCAGACCAGGGGTTTAAGGAAATCTCAGAAGCTGAAACAGGACAGTTATTAATACACAGCGCCTCCTTTAGGAGAAGGCAGTACTGCATGCAGTTTGCTTTAAGTCTTACAAGTCTCCCCCTATAAATTGCAGGTGCTAACCTCTAATGCACAGAACGTGGCAAAGAAAATATCAAATACATCCTTTCTTTCCTGTGAGCGTGGTGTGGGGTGCTGTTTGGGGGCGGGGCACGGAGAAAGCACCTACTGGGTGCTATGGTAACATAATGGAAGAGGCCAAGCGTCAGGTTCAGAGAAGACTTCATCATAAGCCCGCCTTTCCTGGCAGCTGATTAGAAAGTGAGGACGAAGAGTTTTTGCTGAAAGATGTTGATCTTTGAGTCTTTGTGCTAATGGCACTGACTGCATTTTCTGTCTCATTAGAGCATTTTCTTGTTCTTGCAGGTACCTGGCTATTTTTAAACTACAGATGAAGCACTCATCAGAAAAAGTCAATCGTGGTCATTGTTAACCCCCCTCCCACTTTTGTCAGTTTTAATGGTTTTAGTCTATATTTCCAGATGTACATATAAGCAGCTTGATCTTTGGCACCTGTATGCATACTTTTTGCTGTTTTTCCCACTTTATCACCATAAATGTCAGTGTAGAGCACTGCATATAACGGCAAGTTACCAAGACTCCATAGAGTTGAGAGAAATAACTAAATGAAGTTTCCTCTCAGCTTGTCTGATATGTGTCTATTGGTTTTAACAATCAGGACTTTCATTTGAAAGGGATGTTGCTCATTTTTCTGGAGTTCATTCTATGTCCTAGGGGTTTGGGTTTAAAATTGGGCTCTTTCTGGGAGGAGGACACACTCACACGCTCAGCACATGCTGTTGAAAGAACCCCCAGTCTTCGTTTCATACCAGGGAAGATCAGTGATGAATATCCACAATTAAGTGGAAATAGAAAGCAAAGGATCATGGGATCCTAGAATTGCCGGGGCCCCTGGGAGAGGCTCTCTGCCACTGTGCTCAGCGGTGGAAGTTGTGCTACACCAAGTATCCTAGCCTCCTCTACCTCTCCCACACATACCCTACCCCCCCTCAAGAAGGGAGGGCAGAAAGCCGGAGGGACAGGGAGTGAGGTAGGTGGACGTGGGCAAATTGGGGTGGGGGAGAGAGAGGAGAGAGAGAGAGAGAGAGAGAGAGAGAGAGAGAGAGAGAGAGAGAGAGAGAGAGAGAGAGAGAGAGAGAGACTGCTTGGGGTGACAGGCACACCATGCCCTGTGCAGATGATGTTTTATTGAGTTGCACACTTGAAACCTGTTCTGTGAACCAATTTAAAAAAGGAGGAGGAGAGAGTGTAGAAACTGGTGTGGGTGACGAGCAAACCTCTCCTCCCCTCCCACTGGGCAGACTAACTCTGACTCTCAGATCCTCGTGTGGAGCCACTCCTCCTCCTGCCTCTCTACGGAGCGCTGCCTCATTTTCTCTGTGATTCCTGCGAGAGGGACATGGTACTCGCAGCAAACATCAGGGTCCTACTGACGTGAGCCTGTACATCCCAAGATCGCCTTTGGCGGCTTCTCTGTGGATGCTTGATACTGAATTCCCCGAGTAGCATTTATGCGAGAGCAGATCCTGTGTCTGGGTTAACATGCTCTGTTGTAATGAGCTGTGTGGTGTGTGTGTGTGTGTGTGTGTGTGTGTGTGTGTGTGTTTCCCCCCATGATATTTCTCCAGTATCTAGCACAGGGCCACGCATGTAACCAGTGTTCAAGAAACACTTGTTGAATTCAAATAAATGTGTACTCTTCTGCTACTGTCCACACAGTCATGGAAGCTGATTCTAGTCCACGTCGGGAATATTTTTTCCATTTAGAGTATATACGGAATGATGGATGAGCATAACGTGTTAGCCGGTTCAGATCCAGTGTGGAGAGGCAGGGAGTGTCCCACCCCATCCGGCTAACCCCCCACACACACCCCCCACACCCCCGAGTACAAGTGGCTGGCGTTCCCTCTCCCCTCGCCACCTGTTTGGGTGTCATAGCCTCCACACAGGGAATGCGCCTCAGTGTCAGGCCTTTGGAAGGGAAAAGCACCCCCACGGGCCTTTCCACTGGGAGCTTACTAAGTCTCAGCGCCGGGCAGCCTCCTTTGGGAGGTCCCTTGCACTGGCAGGCGGCTGTTGGTGAAAGGCCTGCTCTCCACATGCTCTCCACCGCTGGACTGGCCCACTCATTAGTCAGCCGAGCCAAATATCCACAGTACACGATTTAAATATCTTTCGAGAGCCAACTTTTTAAAACAACTTCTTCTAAGGCCACGTCTTCAAAATAGACTCGGGCAGGCTGTGGTACTTTGTGGAAGAGCCACACTCAAGGGGCCAAAGAGCCGCAGGTGGCTCGCGAGCCGCGGTCTGCTGACCACAGGGACTAGGGCGTCTTGCTGGTGATGCTGATGGTGGTGGGGAAGGTCGGGTCTTCACCACTCAGCACACCTGGCCCCAGACACTAGGTTAGGCGTCTCCCCACGGCTGCCCTATGATGTGGACAACCGACACCTCCCTACACATTTCTTAACGCCCACTGGGGGCCCGGCTGGAATGGCTCAATGGTTGAGCCTGGTTATGACCTAGGACATGGGGATGATGTGTGGGGCTGGCTCCCAGTGGGCAGGAGCTGGGTGGCGGGGTGCCTCCTACTCTCTGCAGTAACAGGACCTGGCCAGCAGAGGGCGACAGCCCTGCCTCCTCCCAAGGCAGGCGGCTGGGCTGGGCTGGGTTGGGCGGAAAGCACAGCTGCTTCCCCTTGAGGAGGGCAAAGGGGGAGGCTGTAGGGTGGCTCTGGTGCCAACTGGGCATCCAATAGTTGCCCTGGGAGGCCGGTTCTGCCTAACCACCTCGCAGACCGGTCCCCTCCGGTGGCCGCAGAGGTCTCAGGCTGAGAGCCCTCCAGGAGCTGGGACAACCCCTCTTCTTCCCCCCCCTCCCCCCGCACCCTCCCTATCCTATCCACACTGCCAGCCCCACCTTCAGATCCAGTCTGAGGATCCTGGGGCTGAAGGCAGGACCTGGAGAGCAGGTGATGGGCTGGGGCCTGGGCCCAGAAGGTCCCTAGAGCTACAGGGGAGCGCTGAGGGTGCCGTGTGCTGACTGGGGGCCCAGGGGACGTGAGATGCTGCCACAGGGGCGGGTGGCAGAGGTCACAGGTCAAGGGAACAGAGGCTCTGGGCAGCCCAGGCTTCCATTTTGCTCTCTGTCCTTTTCCTGCTGTGTACCCTCAGAGGAAGAAGCCCCTCGCCCTCTCTGTGCTGCCCTTAGCTTCCCCCGTGGGCAGGTGCATAGAGGGGGCAAGGCCACCCGGAGAGCTGAGGTGTGCACTTGATGGGGCGGGGCTATGCTATTGACAGGAGGTTCACGTCATTAGGGGGCGGGGCCACGTGATTGGCTGTGGGTATGCATGTGATCAGGGGGCGGAGCTATGTGGACAGCTGGAGGTGTGCTCCCAATCAGGGGTGGGGTCATGTGATTGGTCGGAGGTGTGCAACTCATCATGGGGTGGGGCCCCTGATTGGCTGGAGGCGCACACACGTGAACACGGTGTGGGCTCTTGTGAGGGTGGAGGTGGAGTAAGGTGAGGTTGGCAGAGAGGCCAGGCCAAGAGGAGAGGACCATGGAGGGATGGGGCCAGAAGCAAAGGAGCCGAAGGACCCTAGAGTAAGGTGATCAGACATGCTTTTTGTGGGACAGTCCCGATTTTTAACAATTTGTCCCATGTCCTGTGGTGTTTTAAAAAAGTCCCGAGTTTTGGAAAGAATGCACCACAAGCTAGGAAACCGTTGGAGAACGGGAAGGGAATATATGGTTTTTGGCGCCAGGTGGCTATTTAGCCAGGATAGGCGTTTTATATTATTATTATTTTGTTGTTTTTATTTTGTTTTTAGATTCATCAAGCTGGGCGCTAGGTGGGCACCACCTCTCTGATGGAGAGGCAGCAAAAGCGACCCCCACAAGCCACACAGGTTTATTTATAGGGTCAAAGGAGCTTATTTGCATACTTGACTACCCACTAGCATTATTGGATTTATATATCTAGACCCGCCTCTGCTTACACCTGGACAAAGGTACTCTGCCAGTGCCTCAGCTAACAATTTAAAGAATGTCCATGTGCCTTCTCAGGTGAGCCTTTACATCTCACCCTTTTTTACTAATTAAAATAAAATTTAATAATAAAATAAAATAAAATGAAATGTAAACTTTAATAATAGGGCTCTAAAGTTAAAATAATTGCAAACAATACCAATGCAAAAACTAAATTACATACATGTTATTTTCAAAACTTGAATGTCAAGAGCAAAACTCTGGCTATTAAATAATAACACAACAATGCCAATGCAAAACAACAGTATGAGAAATCAGAACTATGGACATGTTAACATTTTTAGCTATTAAATGAGAGTATCTTGTTGCTGGTGTAGATTTACTCAGAGTCCTTGGACTTGCTGTGCAAGACTTTGCAGAAGACTGGAAGCTAACAGATGCTAGCATGAGCAGGAACATGGTTGAAGAAGTAGCTTCCACTTCAGTCTTTAAATTCTTCAGATGACTCCATGTTGGCACCACAGTCCCTTGCATAGCTTTCAGTTTTCTTCCCCTACTTTACTGTCATCAGGGCAGTACTTAAATCCTTTTGAGTGAAGGGACACAGGAGCTTCTGAGTCCATTGATGTACATACACTCTGACACCCGAATTGGCTGCATTGCTCCTTCTGGAAAGATATAAAATACAACCTCTTCCCCACATTATTACCGAATTTGATAAAACTCTTATCTGGTTTATGCTTTTTGTTAATTTTATAATGTTAAACTTTAATAATAACAAACAATTGTTGAGAACTGATTATAGAGAACTGCTTATCGAAGTTCGCATTGTTGATCAGTTGTTAGAGTTCATTCAAATGAGAAATATGCCAAAGTATAATATAATACTATACATAATTTTTTTATTTATTATATTTGTAAATCGTACTTATGTTTAAATTTTAAAAATATATTACAATACTATTTTTGCGTTCTATGAAAATTTTTGTTCTACCAAAAATTTTTTAAATATATATATATTTTTATATAGACCAAATTTTAAATCAAGAACACCCCCCCCCCCAACACACACACACACACAATGGTGTCCCACTTTACCAACGTTAAAATCTGGTCACCTTACCCTACTGGGGTAGGTGCCCTTGACCAGAATCGAACCTGGGACGCTTCAGAACGCAGGCGGACCCTCTATTAACTGAGCCAAACCGGCCAGGGAGACTGGGAGCATCTTCATGCAGAATTGGGGGAAATGATCTAGATGAGAGATCAATAAGTGGGAGACTTGAACCCGGCCGCAGGCGAGGGCGGGGAGCAGGAGCCAAGGAAAGGCCCGCCAGCGCTAACTGAAAGGAGGTGGGGCCAAGCGCTCGCGCGGAACCCGAGCTCGGCAGCTGCGGCGCCGGCCGGGCTCATTTCCGGGAGGACGCCGGCCGGGCTCATTTCCGGGAGGACGCCGGTCCCGGCTCTCGGCTTCCGGCGCGCGGTGGAGGCTGGCTGGGAGGCGTTACCCTGTCTGCTCTCTCTCCCGGTGCCTGGGGTTGCCCATCGGGGCCTTGCAGACATGTCGGGCTTCAGCCCAGAGCTCATCGACTACCTGGAGGGGAAGATCTCGTTTGAGGAGTTCGAAAGGCGGAGGGAGGAGAGGAAGGCCCGCGAGAAGAAAGTGAGGAGGCCGCTCCCATCCTGATGGGCTTGGAGAGATGTGGGGGGCCCAGAGGATTCCCTTCGCTGTGGGGGGCGGACTGGAACCGGGCCCCACCTCTC